CTGTCTGTATTTCTCTTAAGGCTAGATCCAAGTTTCCCTACTTTCTGTGTCGTGTTTTTTTTCTTAGTTTTTCCCTGATGTGTGGGGAGGCCCATGCCCCCGCTGCTCCCCGGGAAGGACTGTGGAAGATACACAAATGGAGGCCGTGTACCTCGCCGGATCTTCATTCTTGGTTTCCTCTGGCTTAGCGGCATGAGGTAGCAGCCAGGCTCTGAATTGTTCATTTGGGCACTTACCCTGTTCATTTCCTCACTTACGCTGTTGCCGTAGACAATTCTGCGTAGTTGTTCTACTGCGGTCCTTTGTGGGGCCAGTTTTGCTTCTGGCGGTTGAAGGATCTCCCCCTCGTCCCAGAGTGTGGAAGCTTCCCATCCAGTGTTCCTGGTGTAGATCCCTCTTCATCTGTCACACTAGGCAGGCAGTGGGCCCTTCCAAACCGGAAATTCCAGCGCTTCCGACTGGAGTTTGGATTCTTTGATATCCTCTAGCCTTCTGTTCCTTAGGTGCTGCACTTTCTGGATCGGTCTCCTTTTTTTTCCCCCTGAAGTTTTCTTTCCCTGTGAAATCTGTGTCCAGGGTATTTTCTGTGCGTCACAGTAAATGTCCTCCTCCGTGCCCGATCTGCTGGCTGCCCACTCGCACAGTTGGTGCAGTGTGAACTCTGGCCTTTGCTCTGGGGCATCTGCCCGGCCCACTTTCTCGGGAAACCCTGGAGCCCTAGGACTTCGGGGTCTTTCTCTTAGGCTGATCAGGTTCCTTGGAGAAGGTAGGGTTCTGTTCTGTTCCCTGCCTGGGGAGAGCATACTCTGGCTTCCAGAATCATGGAGCCAGGTGGACAGAGCACTCGCCTCTCCCCTTCGTGGAGCACAAGCTCCTTGCTGCCTTCTGCGTGCCCCTCCCATGTTTGTGGGGGTCCTCCTGCCCGTTGCTCCCCAGGCCAGAGCCTCTGTGAGACCCTCTGCGGAGCATCCATCTTGTGCCAGCGTTGGGTGGAGGTCTGATTCTCGCCTTCTCCCATTGTGGTCCCACGTCACCCTCACCTGCCGGCACTGCTGATGTCTGAGCCTTTGAGGGTTTTGTTTAATGAAGAGGGGTGCTTCTTGACTTTCCCCACCAGCTCACAATTTGGCTTTCTCACTTTGCCAAGTTCATTGTTGTCGGGTGCTTTTTTCTCTAAAATCTCGTAACTCTTTTTTCTCTCGATCTTGTGGATTTATCCCTTTCCAAAAAATCTGTTTCCTGTCGTTTCAAGGAGACTCAAACTGACCTTGCCTTCAGTAGAACACGTGTGTCTACGTGCCCTTTCCTCTTGGACCGCACTTTCTCAGAGCCTCTCGGGCCTTCCGGGGGCTGGTCTGGGCCAGCTCCGCAGCTCGCCCTTCCCGAAGGCCCTCCCAGGTTACTCGGAGACGCCCTGCTTATGCTCCACACGCAGTGATTGCAGGAAGTAAGCAGAAAGCCTATTAACCCCTTACTTGCTGCTCTCGGCCTCCGGCATGAGAGAACAGCTCAGCACACAAAACCCTTTCTTGACCAGCCGACCCCAGTCTCCCCACAACCCCGATTTGTTCCCGCTGCTCTGGCCATATGGTGGTGTGCTTTTCCCTTCAGGCCCTCTGGGAGCTCTACTAAAACCTCCCTACATCTATACAAGACCACAGCTCCCCTCGCTCTGCTTCCCCCCCCCCCCCGCACTGACAAGGCCCTCCTCTTTCTTGGCTCACCGCAGATTCATGACCCAAGCCCACCCCAGGGCGGGCATGCCCTCCTTTGCTCCCCTGAAGCAGGCCCTCTGCTCCCTGCACTGGGTGCGCATGCTCGGGTGACTTGAGGCAGTCCACAGCTGCCCGTCCTTGCCGGAAGGCTGCCCTTAGGCCACTAAGTGAGCATCTCTTGGCTGCCACCCTTAGCTCACAGCGCCAGCAGTGCCTGGGAGTGTATACCACTCCCTCCCGTTAAAAGAAAACAAAAAAACCCTTCAGTAACCGATGGGAATAGGGGCTATAGATCTTCAGCTCTCTGGAATGTCCCCAGAGCCTCCCGAGTCAGCTCCCCTTGGTGGGACTGTGCGCCATGCCATGGGCTTGGCCTCCTTCCCTCCATCCCCAGTCCCCACTCCGAACTCTCCTAGGTCTGAAGGGTTTTTGCTGAGGACACGTCCAGGTGCCTCGTGTGAAGACCAACTTAACGCACTGCTTTCTATTACTTGCTAAAACCTTTTAGTTAGTATCTGCGTTTGCCTGACAGTAAGATGTTTGTGTAAAGTCTTGGCGTTTTTATTTCTTGTAGCTAAGAACTGATTCTAGTTTAAATGCTGGCAGTCTTATTGGGTGTTTGTTAAATAATTGCTTATGGAAGCAATTGAAATGCCCAGTTGGTTCCGTCAGTGGGACATGTGACTCTTGACAGCAGGGTTATGAGTTCAAGCCCATGTTGGGTGGAAAGATTACTTAAAACAATAAAAAAAAAAGAAACGTTAAAGCAGCCCTTGCTTTCTCAGATTTTTATATGCCGGCACTCAAAAGAGGGGTGCAGGAAGGAGATGCTGCAGGTGATTTGTGACCAGGGCCGCGGCAGTTTCCGTATTCAGCGTAGACACCCTCTGGATCACAGCTGCCCACGCGGGAACCTTGCCGTCAGCGTAGCCGGGTGAGCAGAGCGGCTGAGCTGGGACGTGCTGGCCCGCGTACACGGACCCGGAACCCTCACGGTTGGGATAGGGTACCTTTGAGCATTGCACTGAACTAAGTTGTTGACGTGAAATATTTGTTGTAGAGACTTGGATCAATATAATCTAAATTAAAGTTGGATTCTAGTTGTGTTGTTTTCTTGTGGCCGCCAGAGCAAAGTACCACGGCCTGGGCTGCTTACGCCACAGAAGTTCATCGTCTCCCTGCTCTGGAGGCTGGAGGCCAAGATGGGGGTGTGGCGGGTTCCCCCCCGAGGTTCTGGGGAGATGCCACTCCGGGCCGCTCCCCCCACTGTGGGTGGTTTGCAGGCTGCCTCTCCCCAACCTCTCTGTCTGTCACACGGGTTTTCCTTATGTGTCGCTGTCCAGGCGTCATCTTTTTTTTTTTTTTCTAAAATTTTTTTTTAATATTTGTTTATTTTTGACAGAGAGAGAGAGAGAGACAGAGCATGAGCGCGGGAGGGGCAGAGAGAGAGGGAGACACAGAATCTGAAGCAGGCTCCAGGATCCGAGCTGTCATCACACAGCCCGATGCGGGGCTCAAACTCATGGACCACGAGATCATGACGTGAGCCGAAGTCGGACGCTCAACGGACTGAGCCACCCAGGCGCCCCGGGGCGTCTTCTTTTGATGAGGACACAGTCATGTTGGATTAGGACCCCACCCTTTTCCACTCTGAGCGCATCTCCGCTGATTACATCTCCGATGACCTTACTTCCAAACATCACGTTCTGAGGTCCCTTTTAAGACCCGTCGGCCTATCTTTCTGTGAGGACACGATTCAACCCACTCGCTAGTATAACCAAGAGCACCTTCCTCAAGTCAGTAGAAACATCTCCCTAAACCTGCTGTTGAAGGAAAGCGGAAGGGTAACCGTCTTTTAGTTTCTGCTTATTTCTCGCGTTGTCTGTGCCTGAACCGGGTTGACGGGTTAGTGTCCTGGCTCCCTAACCGAGCATGTGGCTCTCCGGGTAAGCCGATGGAGGGGTCGTGACTGCTGGTCCAACCTTTCTGTGTAGGTGTGCAGCTGCCAGAGCCTCTGATTCCGAGCCGTCCAGGCCGTCGGGAGCCCTGAATACGTCGTCTTCCAGTTGGCTGGCTCAGCGACTCAGGTACTGGTCCGAACGGCGTGCACAGATTCACTTGCCTTGTCCTGGGTGTGGCGGTTCTTGTCGGGTGAGCACGGAAAAGTCGGTGCAGTACAGGTACTAACTGAGCGGTTCAAATTCTGTACTCCGAGTTATGTACTCCTGGCACACGGCTTAGACTAGGCAGGGTGATCGAGAGTCTGGATTGGAGCTTTCTTGAGCTCCGGGTTATCAGTGCAATTTATTCCAGCACAGAGCGGATCACACGGTTGGCGTTTTATAGCTGTTTCTGAAATACAGATCTTTAATATGATCAGCTGCTCCGGGTTAGTCAAGATGGACCTACAAAAATAAGTTGTTGTTTTGTTCTCTTTCAGATGGAAAGTAAAGAGATGATGTGACTCCGTCCGCATGGAGACATTAGCTTGTGTTGCGTATTTTAACTTTACAGACCGTGTTTGTGCTGTAGTGCCTTTACGCTTCTCGTGGCAAACAGTCTGGAATGTCATTAAAACTTTTCCAGTAAAATGTGCAAATTTTGGCAAAGCAAACAGAAGGGTATCGATATTCTGAGCTTGGCTAAACTGCGTCAGCCCCTGCTTCCTCCGTCCTGCCCCCAAATGAAGTGACGTGGAGAGCAAAGGGTCTGAGTATTACCCGGCCTGAGTCCCGCAAGAACCCGGCACTGTGGAGGCCTCTGTCCCTTACATACCCGCACAGCTGATGGCACTCTGTCTTTATCAGTGGCTTCCATGGTGACCGCCCCTGGAGCCCAGAAGAAGGGGGAGGCCTTGGGCCTACTTGGCTAAGGGCCCGTGTTCAAAGGCGGCCCCCACTCTGAGAGAGCAGCCTTGTGGCCATACGGACTATAAATGCTGGGCTCATACTGATGGCCTCATTCCAGGAGAGAGCCCTGTGCCCGGTGACCCTGGGCGCTGGGAACCAGTGAAGCAAAACGTCCCTGTAGCCGGGTCCTGATCTTAACCCACTGGTCGTCCACCTGCGCACCCCTTTTTCCTGGATTAACAAAATCCAAGCAATTACTCACGGCTTCAACACACGATGGGGGGAAGGGCTCCCGTTCAGTTTCCATTCCGCAAATAGGTGATCAAAACTTCTGCGAGTTGTCTTGGTGGCGTTTGTTCTGGACCAGTGGTTCTCACTTGGGCGTGCTCAGAGTCGCCTAGAGGGCTTGTGCCAGGCCCCGCCCCTGGAGTTTCTGGTTCTAGGGGTCTGAGTGGGCCTTGAGATTTGCACTTCCAGCACATTCCCAGCTGATGGTGATGCTGTGGGTCTGAGGACCCCACTTGGATCAATCACTTGTCCTGTACCCCTGCCGTCCGATATGCAGTCGCTGGCCACAGATGGCCTGGAGCACGTGAAATGCAGCAAGCCCAGCTGGAGGTTGGATTCTTAGTTTTATCTAACTTAAAGGCTGTTAACTTGATTTACTTTTTAGAAAAATCCTTCAGTACATTAGGAACTTTGGTATGTGAATCTGGTTTTTCAGTTCTGGATTTTATTTATTTTTTCATTTATTTATTTTTTTTAGTTCTGGATTTTAAATACAGGTCAGGCCTTTCTCATGAAAACTTAATGTCCAGATTGAGAATCTGAAACACACTTGAGCTTTGAAGACAAACCATAAAATACGTCATTGTTAAAAAAATTATTCACGTGTTGAAATATTTTGGATATGATGGATTAGATAAAGCGATAAAGTTTTTCTTTTAACTGTGGCTACTAGAAAGTTTAGAAACAGGTAGGTGGCTTGCCTTACGTTTCTGTTAGACGGTGCTGTTCTTAACCGAACTGAAGGATAAACACCCACATTTAAGCCGGAAGGACGGTCAGCCTAGGAATCCGCTGGTGCCTCCGTCTTTGGGTTTGACTTGGGACGGGACGGTGGCCCCCCTCAGCACAGGGTTTGCCCCTGTGGGTGCCCGAGACCGCGGTCTGTGCCGGACCGTGTGCGTTGACTGTTCTCTCTTGTACACACGTACCTGCGATAGAGCTTGAGCCATGAGTTAGGCCCAGCGAGAGGCGATCGACCAATGAAAGAGCAGTCGCGATTACACAGGAACGAGACCTCATGCCTGCCGCGCCCGCTTCATCGTGCAGCGTGTCTGTAACAGAAGTTAGGAGTGTTCTCTCTCTCAAAATTCTTTTTTTTTTTTAAATCATTTTCGAGGAACAGCGTGCAGGGGAGGGGCAGAGAGAGAGGGAGACACAGAATCCGAAGCAGGCTCCGGGCTCCGAGCTGTCGGCACAGAGCCCGATGTGGGGCTCGAGCCCACGAGCCGTGAGATCATGACCTGAGCCGAAAGCGGATGCTTAGCGGACTGAGCCACCCAGGCACCCCTCTCTCTCAAAATTCTTACTGTCCTGCACTCCCCGTTCTTGTGATGGTGGGAGATGATAAAATGCCTTCCTCATTAGATGGAGGAGGGAATGACCTAGGCCTGTGACGAGCCTAGGTCTATTTTTGGCCTGAGGCTATGTCAGAAGGCCGCTCATCAGCTTCTGGACCACTGCTAGGGCGGGAGCTGGAACCAGGGTGGGGGCGGGGTTGGGATGGCTGGGATCTTCCCTCCGGTCCTGTTAGTAGATATTCAGATAGCTCCAAGGGTGTGAAAGGTTGGGAGGGCAGAGGCGTCCCGGCTCCTTGTCACGCTCCTGGGCGCTGACTCCCTGCTCAGTGTCCCTTGCATCAGGCAGCTGTGTTGTCCACAGATACCAAGGTCCCAACCTGCCTCTGCACCACCTGCCTCCTCCTGGGAGCCCAGCACGCATTCTCCAGCAGCTGCACGGTCTGGCCGGTACTTGCCAGCTCTGGGCGGCCTGCGAGGGGTTTCCTGGTGTTAGTGTCGCTGCGCCAAAGAGGAGGTCCTTTTGGTAGAAGGTGCTAAGTTGTCTAAAATGTCATCCCGGCGTCATGAGTTTTCCATGCCCTCAGTACCTGCCTTTGGTTTAGTTTTTTCCTAACCCGATGAAGACACGGTGTCCCTTTACTCTAAAAGAACGTCTTGAATTAGCAAGGTTGCTCATCTTCTGAGAACCGTCCATGTGAAGAATTTAAGCTAAGGGAGTTCATTCGTGTAGGTGCCCTCATGACGGGGGAAGAATTCGAATGTGACTGTGTGCCAAGGATCGGAGAAGCCACAAGTGTACAGGTTTTCGTGGAAAACACCGAGGTTAATAGTAGCGTAGTAAATTTTTTTAGCGCTCAAAGTTTGCGTGCAGTTTTGAGAAAAACGTAACACTGAGTTTTGTGCTCTGTGTTCGTCTGTCAGGGGTCGGACGGGGCTCACTTTCCTTACCTGGAAATGTTGGAGAGACCCCGGTGGGTGTTGATTGGCTGTGTTTTCCTGAGATGATATACAGACTCGTGATCACGGTGGATCGCGTGGAAGGCGCAGGGAGGAGGAGAGTATCCGGCTGTGCTGTTCACTAAATGGGTGAAGAGGCGGCTTGCGGTTTGCTTTTAATTGCTTTGCCCGAGCGGGTCCTCCTTCCTCCCTCTCATTAGGACGCTAGGGGGAGCCCTGCCCACACCCACGTTTGTAGCATTATTACCTCCACCCCTGTTCTCAGAATGCATCCCTAGCTAAGACTTTCTTGCGATAAATGCTACAAAAACAGCCTTTTAAAGTGGCTTGTAAAAAACGAAAACAAAACCCTATGCCGACAGGCAGAGCAGTGGGTTAATTTTACATTCTGGAGATATTCCGAACCAGAGTAAACTGACGTGTGTGGATGGCTTTGCTTTGCCTCCGTCCTGGTGCGGTGAGACGTGTCTCCCTTCCTGCTTTCAGGGAACGTTCCCTGGAGAACGAGAGCAGTCAGAAGGGCTGCTGTTTCCGTAGTGCCAGGTAGAAAGCTCCTGGGGTGCCAGGGACAAAGTCAGGTTCTCTCTGTTGAGCCCCCAGGTGTTGGCGCAGACACGGTGCCGAGACGTGAAATCGTGGCTGTCCTCTGGCTGGGCGTTCGTGACGTCCCTCTCCCACCGCAGGCTGGTCCCCGCGCTGCCCACCACAGAGCTCTGGTGGCAGGCCGACTCTGGTCTGTGGGGCCACGTCCCCTCCCACCCACCCCCGCCGTCATACACCCCCATCTAACAGAGGGCAGTGAGCCTTGCACGGTTTGGCCAAAGCAGGGGTCCTCAAACTTGTTCCAGAGCCTGGAACCTGCCGTGGTGGTGTGTGTGTGCGGGGAGCCTGCGGTAAGCTTCGTACGTGGACGGGATGAGCCATCCAAGGGTCAAGGTGGAGTTTGTAGGAGGAACAAGTGGAGAAAACGGAATCCCCGTAATTTTTGCTAAATTAGGAAAAATTGTGCCAATTAGGAAAGCAGTTTTATTGCATCTGAGGCCAGAGGCTAGTTGGGGCGGGGGGGGGGGGGGGCTCAGGAGTGTCTTGCGGGAGTTGGGCTTGATCCGCGTGGTTCACGTTCCTGCCGAAATGGCTGGTGACGTGGCAGAATCGCCAGGTCTCCTTATGGTTATTTATTTGAACTATAAGCCTGGGGAAGGATCATTTGTGATTTGACTTTTTAAAAATTTTTTTTCTTTAGTGTTTGTTTATTTTTGAGAGAGAGAGAGAGAGAGAGAGACAGAGCCTGAGCGGGGAGGGCCAGAGAGAGGGAGACACAGAATCAGAAGCAAGCCCCAGGCTCTGAACTGTCAGCATAGAGCCTGACGCGGGGCTCGAACCATGGACTGTGAGAACGTGACCTGAGCCGAAGTCGGACACCCAACCGACTGAGCCACCCAGGTGCCCCTGTGATTTGACTTTTTTTAATTGATGAACTTATTTTTTAGAGCAGATTCGAGTTCACCACCAAATTGAGCAGAAAGCATACGCCATTTCCATGCCATCCCACACGGCCTCCCCCACCATTAATACCCCTCGCCGGTGTGATGTGCTACGGGTGTCCAAAGAGTAGTGAAGCACGTTTAAATACATGTTAGCTTCTAAACGTATAAACTCCGGGAGCACCTGGTGGATCAGCGGGTTGAGTGTCTG